CTCATAAATAGTTATGAGACAGTATCTCATAAATAATTATGAGACAGTATCTCATAATTATGAGATAGTAATTCATAATTATGACTTAGCTATCTCATAATTATGAGATAGTATCTCATAATTATGAGATAGTATCTCATAAATAATTATGAGACAGTATCTCATAATTATGAGATACTATCATAATTATGAGATAGTATCTCATAATTATGAGATAGTATCTCATAAATAATTATGAGACAGTATCTCATAATTATGAGATACTATCATAATTATGAGATAGTATCTCATAATTATGAGATAACTAAGTCATAATTATGAGACAGTATCTCATAAATAATTATGAGACAGTATCTCATAATTATGAGATACTATCATAATTATGAGATAGTATCTCATAATTATGAGATAGCTAAGTCATAATTATGAGATAGTATCTCATAAATAATTATGAGACAGTATCTCATAAATAATTATGAGACAGTATCTCGTAATTATGAGATAGCTAAGTCATAATTATGAGATAGTATCTCATAAATAATTATGAGACAGTATCTCATAATTATGAGATAATATCTCATAATTATGAGATAGCTAAGTCATAATTATGAGATAGTATCTCATAAATAATTATGAGACAATATCTCATAATTATGAGATACTATCATAATTATGAGATAGTATCTCATAATTATGACTTAGCTATCTCATGAGATAGCTAAGTCATAATTATGAGATCCAAGTTTTATTTTTTTTATCAGGGTGGCAGAAATGGGCTTCCACAGTCGTAACCTCKCCTCCTCAGAATATTTGAAAAATCCCTTTATAATGAAGAAAAGCTGCCTGACCTGCTTCCTGYTTCAGTTGAAGCCCCGCCCACTGAGGGAAATCTGGGTGAGTTCGGCGAGCTGCGGCACGTTGTTGTCTACTGCCCGACCATGAGTGTGGAGGTAAGTTAAACTTTTTATATGTTTTAAACTTTTTCATGTGTTTACAGAAGAAAGGTGGGTGGGTTTCATGTGTCTGTTTTTATTTGATTGACCAGGCATTGTTTAATAAAGCAGCGGAGGAGGTGAAGGTCCTGAAACAGAGACCGGATCAGGGAGATCTGGGTTCTCTGTACGGTTTATATAAACAAGCCACAGCAGGGGACGTTAACACAGGTGAGCTTAAATGGATAGAAATGTTTTTTTTCTCTCTCTCTTTTTTTGGAGAAACAGAAAACCTTTCAGACTTTGTTGATGTTGAGTAATAAGCTAAATTTGTGAAGCTGAGGTTTTTTAAAAAAAATGAGGTCCAACGAGTTGACTTCATCATCAGGGCTGTTTCTCAATTCATGGTCTGGGTMCAGCCCATGAATTGAGAAACAGCCCAGGACTCATAACCAGTTAGAACTGAATATATTCAGTTTCCCCTAAAAGTTATTTAAAATACTGTTTTCTTGTTACTATTTAGATTATTTGTATGAACTCCAGTGTATTTTGGACTCTAAATCTTTTCTGAAAGTGTCTTGCATTTAAATAATGATGTCAGATGTAAGGTATAAATACAAACATGTTTTGCAGAACTGATTCATTTTTCATTCATTTTACTTTCAGATCGTCCAGGAGTCTTTGATTTTGCAGGAAAGGCGAAATGGGACGCATGGAACGCTAACAAAGGTTTTTAATATTGATATTAAAAAAATCAATGCATGGATAAGTTTGTTGTAAGTTTATATTTTCTAAATCTAAACTTTCCCATCTAATCTTTATTTGAACAGGTCTGACCAAAGAACAAGCGATGGGGGCTTACATCGAGTTAGTGGAGAAGCTGAAAGAAAAATATGGATTCTCAAACAGCAGCTAGGACTGATGTTTTATCGTTTTCACATTTTGTGTTAAAGCAGTCCAGATGTTTGGCAGCGGGGTGATAAACAGTCAGTATCCTACCTGTAGTAGATGGGTGGTGGTGGTTTTTATGTGCATTTGAGGCTGGATTTACATAATTTTATGCCATTAAATTGATAAAATGTGGATGTTTTTCATGGCCRTAAGTCGAGCTGGACTGATGAACAAATATCTAGTCAGAGCAGAGACAAGATTGGAGTACATTGCTACGATCTAAAACTAACTCCTGTTTAAAATAAAACTGCAAGCAGTGATGAAGACCCTACACACACCCAGGCGATCTGGACTGGTCTGGCTGACTCTGGTGTCTGATTTAAAGCTGCTCAGATGATGTATGCAATTGTTGTTGTTGTTTTAAATACAGAACATAAATGCACAGATTTTGTGGACAGGAAAACTATAAAATAAACACTTGGTCTCATGCTCTGAAACATGGTTTGAGTGTTTGTCTGTTAGGGTTAGGTCTGTAGGTCTAAAACCGGTCTGATTGTGGTGCATGAATGTGTTTTGGTCACATGCATACAGGTGAAACTGACTGGGTATCAGTTCATTGTAGGTTTTAAAAAGCTGAAATCTGAGATCTGTTTAACCCTCAGAAGGTCTCGTTTAGACAAATCAACCTCACATTTATTGTTTTAATTCATAGGTTTTTGATGATGCAAAAAAATAAATCACAACTATTCCTGATCAAACCTAATAAGTGAGGACCAGAGTTGCTGTCTGTGTACAGGAAATGGAAAAGGAGAACACATCGCTCAGTCCCCCACAAAGCTGTGAAATTTCTCCCATTAAAATGCCCKTCATATCAAATTTTTGTATTAGAATGCATTTTTGGAAAGATAACATTGATAACATTGCAAGAAAAAAGTTACACTGGTGAGATTAACAACAGATATTCACATGAGAAGTAACAGGAAGTGATGTCAAGTGGGATGTCTGATTGTGAACAGAGCATTTCTATGACTAAAAACAGTCTAAAGAAACCTAATGAAGTTCATTGTGTCTATATGATCAATCTTAAAACTTTTTCTTAATTACTAGACATTTGTTATTTTTATGTCTTTACAGACATACCTGACATGTTTCGACGAGTACTTCCGGCTTCATCGGAGGTGTCAAAGCTGATGTTTGAAGATGGCAGTACTCGTCGAAACATGTCAGGTATGTCTGGAAAGACATAAAAATAACAAAGTGTCTAGTGATAAACTGGTGTGTATCGTAAGCCCACCCACACAGACCAATATTTGCRTTTTGACTCCCACCACCCACTGGAACACAAGTTAGGAGTGATCAGGACTCTGTACCACAGAGCAGACAGTGTCCCTACAAACCCAGGAGCCAGGCAGAAAGAGAAATCACACACACGACAGGCCCTGGAGCAGTGTGGTTATCCTGACTGGGCTTTCCTGAAAGCAGACAGGAATCACAGACAGGATTCCATGCAACCTTCAGGTGAAAATGAAGACCCCAAACCCAGACCCAAACCAGTGGTTATTCTGTATGTTAAGGGTGTTTCGGAGAAACWGAGACWTTTATTTTCTAAACATGATGTCCCAGTGGCTTTCAAACCCCAAAACACATTACGGCAAAGGCTGGTTCACCCCAAAGATCCGGTGCCCCGGCACAAACAGAGCAATGTTGTATATGCTGTTAAGTGCCAGGAGGACTGCGACCAGTTATACATTGGGGAAACAAAGCAGCCACTGTTCAAAAGAAGGTCCCAACACAGACGAGCTAATTCTAGTGGCCAGAACTCTGCAGTTTTCACTCATTTACAGGCCAGCGGTCACTCTTTCAGAGATGAGGATGTTCTCATTCTTGATAGGGAGGAATGTTGGTTTGAGAGAGGAGTAAAAGAAGCCATTTTGTGAAGAAAGACCGTCCATCATTAAACAGAGGTGGAGGCCTCCGTTTTCAGTTGTCCCCCTCCTACAGCGCGGCCATTGCCAGTATCACTCCACCCCCTGTTAACAATAGATGTTAATTAGGTGTCAATGATAGCCATGTGATGTGAGTATCAGTCACATGGAGGCAGGGCTTAAAAGCCTGAATTTTGCCTGAAACTCTCAGACTGAAGAAGTCTCTTGGAGGAGAGAAGAAACGTTTCATTAGAGAAGAACCCGTCCAGAAGACCTATACAATTTTTTTCTTTTTGATTTTTTACCTGGATTACTGAGATGCATCAGGACAAAGTGTCTGGTAATTAAGAAAAAGTTTTAAAATCTAAAGAAACATCAGATTATTCATTAGTTTATTTTGAGTCACTGTCAGAGAGAAGTGGGATTTTAAACATTGTTTCAATAAACAAAGACCAGGGAGTTCCTTTAGAGTTCCCCTTTGATGTCACTTCCTGTTTCCCTTTGAGCCAAGTTCAACAGAAAATATATCAGTTGTGTGACAAAATGGTTAGAATTGTGTGTTATGCCAATTTTATGTGCCATTAAGATGTTTTCTTTGACTTATATTTGAAGGATTATGCACATCACAGGGACTTCAAATTTGTTTTAATTTTATCAAAATTATTTCAAACTCTCATAAACCATCAGTTACTTTACTGCCCTCTAGTGTTTGTTAGGGAAAAAATCAACCACATTGAAATCTGATAAACACATCTTTTGATTTTTTTAATCATAGAATAATGCATTCCTTTCAGTAACGGTTTCTTTATTTTTTACCTCTATTCCTCTGCTATCAATTTTATATGAATCCACCAGGTGAGGTTCTGCTTTTATGTTTGAGAGCCGCCAACTTACCTGAAGGAGGCGCCTCTTTCATGGGAGTATGTTTCTGTCTCTCATCTTATCCCACAAGATGTGCACAAGTAAACATTTAGTACAAAACCATAAGTACACATACATGCAGCAGGCTGAAGTACCTGTAAAGAGTACTGCTTACTTCTCATAGCATCAGTGGCCTATAGACCAGACTGCGTTATTTTCAAGGTTTGACCAAGTCAGCTTTAGCCTGGTTGTTTTACAGCACTGGGTGATTTTACCATACCATCTTTATTTATAGAGCACTTTAAACACCTACAGGACCAAAGTGATGTRCACATAATAAAACATGCATACATTCATTTAAAAATTAGACTAAAACTTCAGAATGGAAAAGGGTAAAATTATTTTATTTTCACATAGTTTTGTAAATATGTACAGTAAATCAAATGTCTTCAGGCTGACGTAAGAACCTTTTACTCAGATACAATTTCAAGATAAATCAAATTAAGTTCATAAATGTACACGTTTCTGCCTGCACGTTCACCCATCTGTCAGGGAAATGTTAGCGACTGTTCGATCACAGCTCCAGGGTGTCCACGGGGAGTCCTCTGGTCACGAGGCTGCCCGGAGAGCAGGGCAGCAGGGACACCTGGGTGTGAGGAGAGCCGCTGTTGCTGAACGAGCCGCGATGCTGCCGGCGCCGACTGGGCAGGTGTTGAATGAGTCTCCATCKCCTCCACCTCCTCTTCAGCTCCTGCTGCACCTGTAAGTATGCACCACTCAGAAACTATCCACGCTTTCCAAAACTGACGTTTGATCAAAGGGTCTGTCCAGGTCTTTTACCTCTCCGTTCATGAAGCAGTAGAGGACCGCCACCACGAAACCCTTACAGATGAGGGAAGAGAGGTCAAATATGCGATTGCTTGTTTTCTGCGTTAAGTCGTCATTTCTCYTCTATAAACTGATTAATTCACCTGTGTGGACGACAGAGCCAGCTCTGCAAACATCCAGATCTTAAACACGGAGCTGCTGAACTCCACAGGCAGGAAAACGAACAGAATGTAGTGCAGACCGAACAGGGCCACCAGGAAGAAGGTGGATTTGATCAGCCTCCTGTGGGACGAACAACAACAAGCTCAAGAGTTCATTTCTACGTTAAAGGCTGAAACTTCCCCGATACAAACTCAGTCCCAACGACTCACCAATAAGACACTGTTCTTGGGAATTAAAACCAATGAAAATATAACATTTAGCAAATAAAATACGATCACAGCAGAACACTGGTACACAAGTTGAAAACTACTAACTTGTACTGGCTGAATTCATTCCTCTGTGCATCTGGCATTCTGAGTTTGTCCACCAATATCCTCAAAATTCCCAAGAAAAAGATTAGATTGACCTTTAAAACCACAAAACAGTATTTGTTATTTATTTTCAAAAGCATTAAGTTGTGTAATATAGGACTCTTAGAATACATATATAAAAGCTAATTGTAGCATGTTAGCATTAATGGGTTACTTGGCTAGAATATTTGGCAGGCTAAGCTGTTCAAAACAAAGTTTAGCTTGTTAGCATAGACCAGATTTCTGACACTAAATGACACTTCCAACTCGGAGATAAAAAATAAACGATATAGAAAGGGGAGAGTTACTCTTTTATGTATTTGTACATATTTAAACAGCAGAATATGTCTCTGTGCTGTTGTTAGTATTTCCTAAGTATAATAAAGCATTTAATAGATGGTATTAATATAGTACTAAAGCTATGTGTGGGGGTAAACTAGTGAGTGTTTTATGTGAATGTGAGCATGTCAATGCTTACTATATAAGATTATGTAGACATAATGTAATCACAATCCCCTCCAAAAACAGATTAAAACATACGGAAAATTTACAATTTATTAAGAATTTTGAGTGAGATATCCTTTAGAAGTTGGTTATTTTTAGACAAAAAAGTTCTGATTGAAGTAGAAACCATGTAGTTTAACAGGTTGGTAAACACTTTTTTGTTTGCCTCTAATCTCATGAGAAACTGCATCCTAATGTTGTGGACATTTGTTTTATTTATACTGGTTGTCTTTATACCGAGGGAATTTTAGGTTTATGTTTTTTTAAGTAAAATTTTTTGTTTATATGTTTTAACTGTTAGTTTTGCAAAATAATTTTCATTTTTATAAGGTTTTACTAATCATAAATAGGGGGAATTAAAATGAGCACAAAGCGAAGATAAAACTGGTGAGGCCACCAAATTTTGAGGGGTGGGATGGGGGGCGTAGCCCCTCCTGGCCACCCTCACTTGTTACGCCCCTGGTGATTGACAGGTGCAGTTCCCCTGTGGCCCTATGGCTGTGATGGGGACAGGAATTCAAATTTGTGTCTGTTGAGTCATTATTCTGTACCGTTGTCCACTCCCTGGCCAAGCAGCAGCGCTCTGAGGAGATCACCCCGAGATCAGCTGACAGGAGGAGTGCTGCAGCACCTCCACGGTCCAAACTCCTGTAGGACTTGCATGTCCACCACTTTAAACACCTACACCGCTGGCGAGGGAGTGCATGCCCTGCGCGAGTTCCCAAAGTACCCACCGAGCCTTGCAGAGCAAGAGCAACGTGCTCACTCGCACTTCAAACCCCTCTACAGTAATAACAGTCTGCACACATTTTTTTCCTCTTTCATAAAAAGCTCAAATCGGGACATTTCTGGGGACAGTTTTAGCCGGGGAAAAGTCGTCCAAAACGGGGACATCTGGTCACCGTAGCTTGTTAGTGTGGCTTAGCACATGCGTCAAATAAATGGTTTTAGTTATGATGTTGCTAATTTTTATGTTTGTTTTTTGTGTATACTAAAGCCAGTTACTGAAAAATCTTTAGAGTTAATGTTTATTGTCCTAATTTAATTTGTTTTTACATTTTTAGATTCGCTAGTAGCTACAAAATGTTTGAGATAAGCTAAGCTAACTAGCTAAAATGACAACCATGAGCTAAGAAAATATTGCCACATGAGGGGTGTGACTGTCTACTTTTAGCCTTTGAGAATAAGAGTTTGGTTTTTTTTTTCAGAATATGAAAAGGTTTTTGAAATATTTAAAGTAAACAATAAATTGTTTTACACATATAGTTAGAAGAACTGGCACTCGAAGTATCCACCAAATCCATTTGTGTCTCCTGGTTTCCCAACAGCTTTGACAAAACAAACAAAACAAACAAACAAACAAAAAGAGATACAGTTAAGATACATGATATTCTAAAATAATGCAATAATTTGCATAAATTTTGAGTTTTTGATTTGTCACTCCAAACTTTCTGAAGGCATTTAAAACTTTTTTCTTTAATTCAGCTGCCTTTTCACTCATTTTCTGTCTAGTTCAGAAAGGAATATTTTGTTTTTCTTGTTTGACTTAAAATTATTCAGACATAGAAAGACCTCTAATCTCAAAATGAACCAGTATTGTGTCAACATAAACGAGTAGGCAAAACACTATTTTTAAATTGACTCTTGAGGTGTATTTTTACTGACAGCACCTGTAGTAAATTTTAACAAGCACAAAATAAGAGCTGAGCTGAAAACTAAATATAAAATACGTAGATGATTAACTTAAACTAACATTTGTATGGCAAGCTAAACAACTCAAAATGTAGTTTAGCTTGTTAGCATGGCTTAGCAAATGCCAAGAGATCAAGCTAAGCTAAGCCAAACTCAACTCGTTATAGTGGTTTATGCCATTGCAAAATATTAAGTTGTGCTTGGAAAGCTGAACTAAGTTGACTGCAGTTAAGCTTATTAGCATGGGTTAGCGTAACTTATGCTGTGTTCACACCGAACGCGATTTCAGCTTCAAAATCGCAGCCAACGCTGAAGTTGGTCACTTGTGCACTTTGAGGTCAGACGCAGGTCAGCTCTTGAAGCGCTGCACGACAACAGCCKCCCCGCCCCTCCCTCCTCTGTCGGGCTCTGTTTAATGTCGGACRAGGAAGTGGCTTTGCTTTATTTACAGAGAGCAAGAGCATGTCACGTTCATCAGATAATTAATTCATAATTAATTCACCAGATAATTCAGAGTAGAGGCTCACAGCTCGCTTTCAGGACTATTTTTGTCCCGAGTCCAGTCTGATGAGTCGCTGCCACGCATTGGTGCTGATATCTCCTGTCAGGACACGACTGCAGGCACTCGATTTCAGCTAAAGAGCTCCTCTCCATCTGTTTCAGGTTAGTGGACATCATTCAGTAAACTGTCCCGTCAGGAAATATGTCTCTACGTCACACAGTGGAGTCTCTCTGATAGGTTGACGCGGCGCGTCGAGCTGCAAAAGTTCAGATTTTCTAACTTCAGCGATTTGCGCCTCAGCACGTCGAACGCTCAGATCGTTCAAATCGTACTGCTCTAATCGCGCTTGAGGCGCAGCAGCACTTCCCGACGCTGCTTGAAGCGCGTCCACCATAGACTTTGTATGTAAACCTGATGCTCCTGATGCTGAAATCGCGTTCGGTGTGAACGCACCATTACGGTAAATGAACATAGTTTAGCTCGTTGGCATAACTTATCACATGCCAGGCTCTCAAGCTAAACTAAGCCAAACTCAAATTATCCTGATGCATCTCAAACAGAGAATCTATTCATGCAAAGCTATTGAGTTAATTTGTGTTGAGCAAGCTAAGCTAACCTGAACAAATTTAAGCTTGTTAGCATGCCTCATCACATGGTAAACTATGTTTGGTAAGCTAAACTTTTCATTTGCAGTGTATAGATTTGTTTTGAAATTTGCACAGTGATGCCAATGGATGAAGACAACACATTTTTAGCTCCTTACCCTTCATCTTCATAAAAATACTTAGCGCAACCCCAGGAGATGATAACAATAAGTGGACAGCCTGTTTAAAAACAATAAATTTAGGTTAAATCATCAGAAACCTTAAAGAGCTGTTGACATGTCACAGGTAAAGACAAATCGGTGCGATGCACATGAGGATTTACCCCAGCTTARGAGGATGTACCAGGCGAGGTGTTTCTTCAGGGAGAAGAAGGAGCGGCTCACCAGGATGAAGAGGAAGTGACCCTCCACCAGCAGCCAGCTGTAGTTGGCGAGGATGGAGTAGTTGGAAAACATCAGCACGATTTTACACCCCACCTGCCACACGAGTTTATAAAGAAAAAAAAATAGATAAGGTATGATTTTCAACAGGTAAATATATTTGGGTGGCCAGTTAGGAGGCTAACAAAGTTATAGAGGTGCCCCCCCGGAAACCCACTTATTGGCACCCCTGGTTTAAACCTTAAAAAAWTAATTAGTCACCATTTTGTCTGAATTCAATAAAACAGGAACAAAACAGGCTTCTTGATGCAGTTAGAAGATTAAAAACAAAAATAAATATGTTGTATTGAAAGAGAAAGTCCAGTTTTACCGGATAGTCGTCACAGTGATAGAGCTCTTTGTTGGTGAAGAGCAGACTGTCTCTGATGAAGATGAAGATGGCTCTCAGGATGAAGGAGACAAACAGCTGAATGTGAATGTGGTTCCTGGTACAGTGGAGCTTTCTTAAGATAAACATTAAGCCGGTTTTAAAAACAAGTTTAACTGACGGWGAGCAAACGACACTTCAGATTTGAATGGGTTTGATGCTGGGACAATAGAAAACCGTTTCCTCACCTGAACAGACTGAAAATGGTGATGGCGATGGTAAGAGAGACGAGGGAGAGTGTGTATCCAGCTGTGTACATGGTCTTCACGTAGGAGTAATATAAATGGGAATCTGCGGGCTGAACATTGGAAAGTCAACAAAACCAGTTTAAAAATGTGTCKTTAGGCATTAATTACTAAAAATTCTCTTAATCCGCTTCAAACTCTTAATACATTCAACTGCTCCTGATGCTTAATTTGATCCATGTGCCAACCAGTAAAGGGTATGTAAAGGCCACACATGGTAGTGTTATCAGGCAGATGCTGGAGTGCCCAACAGTTAGCCCGAGGTGGTGGTGGTGGTGGGGATTTGTTGTTCTGTGTGCCAAGCCTTATGAAACTCTATTCCCAGTAGTGGGGACGTTTCCTCTAATCAGCTAACAGCGAAACAAATTTTTCCATTCAGTGGATTAGCTTTGTCACTAATTTTGAACAACYGTTAGCAGATCAATTAGCTTCTGCTAAATTAGGTTTTGCCAAGTTTAAGTTACCTAACCACTAWCTAAGAAGCTAACATCAATAGGTTTGTGTCAGTCCCACCAGTCTTCAGCTCCAAGGAGACAAATACGTGATMCAGACTGAGTGACGGTCGTGTTAGCGGTTAGCAATTWGCTGKTRGTGTTAGCTTCTGTTAAATTAGGTTTTGTCAACTTAAGTCTGCTAACGGCTAACTTACATCAACAGGTTTGTGTCATTCCCACTAGTCTTCAACTTGAAGAAGATGAAGATGTGAAACGCAGACTGAGTGACAGTTATCTTAGCGGTTAGCGATTAGATGGTAGTGGTAGCTTCTTTTATTTTTCACAATTAGCRTTAGCAAAGCTATARTTTTTAATTAGTGGATTATAAGTTAGTGAAGCTAACTTTTTGGTTAGCTGTGCARAGCTGGCTGTGTCTGGGGTGGTACTGAAACAGAGAAGTATGGACTGACAATACTGCTGGTACAGGACCAAAGCACCCCCTTCTGCCAGGTCAGCTATCCGTTGTTCATCTTTCAACTCATGCACTTTATTTCCATTTCCACCACTTTTTCCTTATTAGCATTATATTGTATTTTTCTCAGTTTGATAACCTCTCTGTGTTTTCCTTTTGGCAGGTGGCTCTGTCAAAATCTCCTTTGTCATCTTTTCTTATTTTATTGACCTTCAGTAGGTCAGATGGGGATGGCTAATGGGTCGGAAGAGGCAGAAAACAACAACAACAACAAAACTGTAGACAAGCTCCTCCCACTGGACAATAGAAAACACCAACCTCTTCAAGAAATGACCCATTGAACGTGTAGCCACAGGCGTCTTCATGTGGGACAAGAAGATCTGTCCATCCATCAGCGGTGCAGTTTCGATGCACTTTACCTGCAAAGTATCAAACAAAAATCACAGCTGTTTTTCTTGGTTTAGTATAAAAATGCATTTGTACTTGGGAGAAAAACAACAAAGAAGTTAAGCAGCTCACGGTAACTACAGTATGCTGAGGAACTGACCTGTTACAGGGCAATAAAGTAGAAAATCAAACAATTTATCACTTTAATARTCTGATAAAGCTCCACAATTTGATATCATTTATATTCAAACCAATAATCTATAATTTCCCTGCACCCAGACTCACTGTTTGGATAGTAATCCTGACAGAGAAAAAGTTGTCCCGTCTCGTTATGAAAACAAATGAGTTTCCTCTGCAAATAATTAACTAACAGCACTGAAAATGGGTTCCAGTTAATACCACTGTGTTTGTATCTTACCTGCAGAGCTAAAAACATTGGGACACGGCTGAGACACGGTTTCCCCAAGAGAAGCAGGCGGCCAGCAGTTTAGGGCATCCCACATTCCGTTGCAGTAAACGCTGATGTTTTCTTGGAAACAAACAAACAAACAAACAAACAAAAAACTTTTTATATTTGCTGTGATTCCAGTAGAAAATTTGAGAAAAAAGCAGTGAATTTATGTTTAAAAAATGGGGGTGAAAATTTTATTCGTTTTATGGCTTAAATGCAGATTAAAACCACCAAAATCTTGTGTAAATTTTAGTGTGCAGTTTGATGACTGGCCACTAGATGTCACTAAAGAACATGACATTTTATTTTAAATGTTTTTATATAGGTTTTACTCATTTTACTGAAACAACAAACATTAAATCAGAGCTTCTAATTCCCTTAATGGCCATATAAAATATTTATTCTGTATATTTATTTACATAATTCTGAAAGTGACTTACCTGTTGCTTTGAGGGATTTAAAAAGTTGCAGGTCTTTTAGGCACTTCTCTTCCTCTTTTACAAGACTAACATGAGGATGGCAACTCATTGACGATTTTACCTGTAAAATAATAATAATTAAAAAAAACATGTATATTGTTGTTTTAATTATTTTTTTAACATCTCAATTTAGTTGAAGCCCCTTTTCTCACCTGGGGTAACAGAAACACCCCAATAAATCCAACTTTCTGCATCTTGTCTCCTTTATTCCTCCTCAGTCCAAACTCCGAACCGCAGGGTGATCAGGGTGAAAAGCGAGCATCCTGCCATGCAGCTGATAAATGAGCCCTGAAACTCAAACATGGGATAGGAATGTCCAGCAAAGTTCCCTAAAGTAGTCTGTGAAGTGCTTATATTAACGTGGCCTTGCTGACTTTCAAAATAAAACTTGARCGTTTTCCTACAGGTCGATGTAGCGCCTAGTTTGGTATTTTTATTATTTTTTACACTAGTAAATCAGCAATATAATTAAGCTACCTTTTCATGAATTTTCAAAACAGTAAAAAGCGCACGTGAGCATTCGTTCAGCGGCTTTTATTTTGAAATCTAAACAGCAATTTTGCGGTTTGGCTTCGTCGAAATTGACGTGCTCGTTCCCCGCCCCGCCCACCGTCGCTATGGTGACGGTAGCTCGCGCCGGTTGTGTTTCCCGTTCATTAAAACAGAAAAGTGTCACCGGGCACCGAAGTTTATGTTGTGGATAATGGCGGCCATGTTTAAAGACTCAAAAGCGTCCGCTTGTTTTGGGATTTAAGTAAGTTGTTGAGTTACGGTTAATATATATTTTTAATGTATTTACAAGTTTCACGTTCATTGACAAGGACAAAACCACTACAAAGCTAAAAACAGCTGGAGACGTCTGTTAGYCCAGTAGTTATTAGTGCGCATGCGTCAAATCCTTCACACACTTTCTTAAATAACTCCTGCTTGTTTTGGTAAGTTTCACCTGCTTTTCTRTTGATTTTTTATTTACGACTGTCATTATAACCTCGTTTTATCTGTGTTATATTGTGAGTTAACAAATATTTTTATATAAAAATTTGCCTAATAACTTTAAATTTCCTCCCAAATGAAGCTTTTTTTGTCCCAAGTGAAGCTGCTGTCTCTTCCTCCAGCCTTCTGTYATTTTTCTCCCGGAGGAGACCCCTTTTATGCCAGGATGGAAGTGGCTCAGTCTAGCTCTCAGATCCTCTCGAAGCCCCACAGGAGGAGAGGGACGCCTCTGCCCCTGAGCCAGCTGGTGGAGGAGAGCCGGAGCAGAACCAGCATCCCCAATCACCTGCTGGACTCAAGTACGCCCTAGCTGTCCACTCTGACTGATACAACATCTTGCTTATGGCCTGAACATTTGTCCTGAGTTATTCATACAGTAATTTATGTAAAGCTTCTCCTTTTATTTTATGTTTTACCTCTTTTTTATTTTTATTTTTATTTTTTAGAAATCTATGCCAAATTGAAAAGCAACAGGGAAATCGAAGCAGAACCTTCAGAGCTTCACTTCAGCGGGTTTGAGGTTGGGAAGAGTTACGTAAAGGTCCTGGTGAGGAAAGGTTTTGTTTCTGAGACTTTTTAAGAWTGTTCATAAACTGTACAGTTAGAACTGGTACAAACAAAGAAGAATTGGTTATGTTTAAGTACTTTGTATTCACAGTGGAGCTTTTATGCTGTTCATTTACTGTAAGAACAATAAATATCTTACCTGCTGCCAGTTGACTTTTGCACAAACTCAGTTTGGAGAAATTAAGTTTAACTCTGACCTGATTGATGAGCTAAGTCTGAGCAAGACCAAAGTGGATTCATGTTGTTTAAAACGAGTCCAGTCTTACAGGATCGTGTGAGCGCTGTTTGCACTGTCAGCATTATTTGATGATGTGAGTATTTCACTTCAGAACATGACTTCATTTACTGCAGAAACAGAGGACTGAAAGACTGATAACTGGATGATCCGTTTGAAAAGTTTCTGTTATTTTTTTAAATTCAGTCCAGATGTTTTCCATATGAGGTGCTAAGTCTGATCCATGTCTGATGTTTTTAAAGCGACCTCAGTCTGACAGGTCATGTCTCATTTCATCCAACTCCGAAGCCTGGTTTATACTTCAATACGATGTGAGAGAGCAGGTTAGTGATTACATCATTTATGATGTCTTTTCTCTGACCGTGTGTTTAACGTCAGGCTAAAGATGCAGCGGGGGATAAATTACCATCATTCCTTCCTCTGCCATCCTAATGTAGCACAGCTCATAGCCAACATGAGTGACAGAAGGATAGATAGGTAGATTCTTCACTCATTGATGTCTCGGGAGTTGGAGGAGGAAAAACTGAAGGCTTGAACATCAGTGCACGTTCACATACTCAATAGGATCAGAGCAGCTGCTCCTCTAAGCTGCCTGTCTTGCTAATTTGGCAAACAGCTTCTGGAAACAGATAGTTTTTAGCTAAATGACCTGCAGAAAGACGCACTGCACGGAGTGAGGCTCCACAGAGCGGCTCTGAACAAACATGCTAAGTTCTGACCAATCACATGCTGAGAGGCTCAAGGTCCGCAGGACAGAGTTCTGACTGGGGGCGATGTACACAACGAGCTGTCACCGGGGGCAGTTCTGCACTTTTTTGTCACTCATCAGTGTGAGCAACTTGAAGTCTAAACCAGCCGTGACTTTTAAAGGGGWTAGATCATAMAAAATCTACTTTTTAGCTCCTAAATACATTTTGTTGTGTACTTGGAGTCTCTAGGAGTGCAGAGAAGTTGAGTTCAGTCTCTCCTGGTGCTGCAAAGATATCTTTATCTTCTGTCTGAGTCATGTTTTTCAGTCTGTTCAGTTTTCTTAATTCTCTGTTACGTTGTTTGAACAATAACGTCACATTAAGGACAACTGATATTACCAACTTTTAAAAACTGTTACGGCCAGAGGTCTTTTTTCTATGTTTATACTAAAGCATGGAATGACATTCCTCAAAACATAAAGTCCATTTCAAAACTACAGCCCTTTAAGAAGAATCTTGTCTGCCAGTTGTGCTCATAGTTAGAC